AAAAAGAAATCATCAGTGATTGTTTCAGTTTCTCAAATGTGCTTTTCTATCCCTGAGGTCACAATAAATTCATAATAATTAACAATCAAATAATGACAGTTTAGAATAATTTTTATTTTATTTTAGTTATGTTTTTTTTTAAGCGCGTTCTCAGTTTCAAGGTCCTAAAATTGCTCTTTTCTCCCCTTTTTTAACCAAATATAAACTGAATAGCTTTTGTGGGAAAATTACTGGTCTGTGGTATTCATGCTCTGTAACATTTTTCTGTAATTCAAAAGCTACAGTTCATTGTTTTGAAAGTGTAATCAGTAGAATGATTAATTGTTACTTCCAGCACTAATTTTTTTGGGATTATGATGATGTTGCTGACTGAGGACGAGGGGGGGACAACACACTCGTCATGTCGTGCTGCAGAAAATCGTACTGTAATCACGTTTTTCAGTTCTCCAAACTGCTTGTTGATTAATCAGGTAAATGATGGAGAGACTAATAATAGAAATGCACTGTTTCAAAGCGACATCAGGTAACATCAGTGCTGATGCTTCACACAAACCACTGATGCAGACCTGAACATTTGGTGCTGTTTTTGAAATACTGTTCAGGTGTCAGGTTTAAGTTTGTAATGTTATGTTAGTTTTACTGAAGATTTCGATAATGGTGGCACCCTTCATCCTGAGTCACTGTGTTTGATCACATAATTATTTCGTACTGTCAACGTATTCACACAACAGAGGCTGAAAGTTAGATGTTGATTTTTACCTCATTTCTTTTGGGATTTCTAATGGTGCTACTGCAACGGTGCTAACTTTGCATGTTTGTTACACTTTTTTTTTTCCTCATCTTATGCTGACATTAGTTGAACGTGAACTGTGTAGGTTTTTGTTTTGCAGTGTGCTCAGATGTTCAAGTGTCTTTGTTTTAATCAAATGAGAAACAGATGTAGAAAAATATTAGCATGATAGTTAATCATCTTTGTGAAGGGGGAAAAAAAAAACGTTGGGGCATAATGAAAGTGTTCATGGGATTTTACTCAGGCATTACAAAAAAAAGGTGCTGTTAAAGGAAAAAGTTTGTCTTTTATTTTCATTTATGTCTGAACTAATTTAGCCAAAAATGCCTTTCCTTGAGCCAAAATCTGTATTACTGATAACAAAATAAAGACCAACAAAACCAGGATATCCTGCTCCAGTCTTTTTTTTTCTTCACACAGTGAAGTAAAGGAAAGCTGCAAAAGAGAATTCATAACATTTACAATGGGCTCTTCAATAATAACAGATGCTGTTAATGTGGGTCTGAAACCAATATGTCCTCAGGATGGACTTGAAAACTTTGCCTCACACATTTGTGTTGTTTCATGCCCAATTAAACAATAACACCACCCAATTAAAATATAACTTTAATACCAAAAGATGAATTATTCCATTCATATTTTTTCTCAAATAGTCAGAATAATCCATGTTAATCTGAAATGCTTGCAGTACACCAACTAATGCAAACTGAATTGCAGCAATCTTTAAATCCATCTTCTCCACTTATCCAATTAAGCACTGCTGAACAGGTCATGAGACAAGAGGTGGGGTACACACTAGAAAGGTCACCAATCCATCACAGAGACAACCAGTCATGGTCACATTAGAGTCACCAGTTAACCCAATAAGCAGGTTCTTGGACTATGAGGGAGAACCTGCACAGGCAGATCAGCTGGTTCATTCAAACCCAAAACCACCCAACCAATCCACTTTTATTATTTTTGTGTTTTTAAAAATAGGAGCAAACTAGAAAATTGTCAAGTTGTGCTGTAAGAGTATTTTACCCACAGCTGCTGCAGTTACGTGTGCGCCCAATCTTGTTTTTTTTTTTGTTTTTTTAAGTAATTAAAGATGTTTGCGGTACAATCATTCAACTCTGGAAAAAGGACAGTTCGAATAAATCATTAAAAGCTCCAAATGAAACTTTTAACAACAACTGTATATGAAATTTGGCTCCTCCCAGAGCCACAGACCATCATTCTGACACAGACCACAGATTTCTAGTTACTTCCATTAAATGAAAGTTTAGCTTCTCCAAAGAACACACCAACAGACACAGATGTCATTTACTCCATCTGTTCTAGTGGTGACGGTGTAGGACATGTAGATCTGTTTTGTATGACAAGCTGTACGTATGTTTATGTTGGACTGCTGTGGGGACATGACTGTTGCTCTGCAGTTGTAACAACAGCAGGCTGTTTGCAATGCAGCCTTTCATACTTTTTATTATGAGTTTTATCTACACAGTGCTGTAAAGAGTCAGAGGTCACTCCGGGGATGGTGATGCGGTTTCCCAGGGTTTTAACATCCGCTCCATTGTAGAGGGAGTGGGATTCTGGTTGCTCGGCTCTATGTCCACTTTTGTCACTCCGGGAACCTCCTTTCCCTCCTGAACCAGTTGCATCACCTCTGCAAAGGAGAGCTGCTTTGTCTCTGTGGGTTCAGAAGTTTCTGCTGTGAGTTCAGAGTCTGAATGTGACGACGCCGTCTGGTCCAGCTGCTCAACAGGGCAGCCTCTCATACCGGAAGAAGAGCTCCACTGTTTGTAGCCGGCTCGGTCGATGGGCTCGACAAACCTGTGAGGGGACAACGGGAAAAGAGGAATAGAGGTTTGTGTTTGATATTTTGTTTCTTTGGAAGGGTGGCATTAAAAAAAAAAGTTTGGGCATGAAGGTAAATATCACAAAATGCTTTAACGCATTCACTGCTGATTATTGATCTTAACAAGGTACAATGGAAAAGCAGAGCCTTGTATTCACTCGATTACCATCTTTAACCTTGGAAGTGTATCGTATCTGATATAAGTTTTTGAGACCTCTACGTCATTAGTGTGATTTTTTTTGTAACCCTAATCTCTTTGTATTTAAAAAAAAAAAGTGCTTTGGAAAATTGTAGTAAAAAAATACAAACTCATTTGTGCAAATAGATTTTTTTTTTTTTTAAATTTCTTCTAAATCCATCAAAGGGTTC